ATTTTGGGTAAATGTATTGAGTTTACATGTAAATAGGTCTTAGTAGAAACCAAGTAAAATAACCATATATCGAATTTATATTTTGCCTTTAAAGTATGTTTTAATTATGTATATATTTTTTCTGTTTATAAGTAGAAAACATGATCTCTACAGAAGACTGACATTTTAGTGGTAAAGAAAAATACAGAAAATACGTCTTTGTGGGATCTTTTCAAACTACACAAATTTCTCTCAGATAAAATGAAAATTACATCACCCACAAATAACCAGTTATTACAATTTTAATGTGTATACTTCTATTATTTCTAAACAATAATTTTTTTTTGCCTTTGTGATCATAGTAGACCACGTGGCATATACAGTTTTGCAAGCTGCTCTGTTTACCTAATATGACTTTTTCCCCATATAACTTAACATTCTTAGAAAAAACATTGTTTTCAATGGCATTATAATCTTCTATCAAATGGATGTATTATTTATTCATCCAGTTTTCTATTATTTGCCAGTTCGGTTGTTCTTAATTGTTTGCTATTATAAAGAGTACTGTAATTAACATATTGATACATCAACCAATATCTATTTTCTGATTATTTTCCTTAAATAAATTCCTAGAGGGATTGCTAGGTCATGCTAATAAACCTGCCTAAGAATTTTGATCCCTATTACCAAATTGTTTTCTAGGAATGTTTCAGAAGTTTATACCCCCATGACTAGCTATTGAGAATTCCCATCTAACTGTTGTATACATGCAGATATCAACAACACTGCAACAAAATCCAGTCATTTAAAAACATATATTTACAGGTTCAACAGAAGAAAAATGGTATACCCATATTTTAATTTATATATTTTTGATTACTTGTTGAGGTGATTACAATTTGTTTTATGTTATCACTTATTGGTCATCTCTGAATTCCCTGTCTTTTGCTATTTTTCTATTATATATTATTTTCATATTGATAAAAGCTTTTTACTAATATGGGTATTATGTATAACTTTATCAGATTTATTGTAAGAAATTTCCAATTTACTATTGTGTCTATGGAGTTTTTTAAAGTATCGAAAGTAATACATTTCATAAGTTTGTTCATTGCTCTTAATGCTCAGATAGTCCTTTATCATCTTAAGCTCATATAAATATTCACCTGCTTTTTCTTCTAATTTTTTTGCAGTTCTGTTTTTCTCTTACTTTTCCTTTTTCTGGTGTAAAATTTGAGTGAAGCTATTTTCTCTGCTTTATTTGTTAGCTTACAATTATCTTAACTCTATTCACTGACTAATCTTTTTCTCTCCCCTTTGAGTTGGAATACCAATGTTATGCTTAAATCTTGCATATACTAGCTTCTGCTTTTAAGTTATATAAAGTATTACTTTTACAATTATGTAGATTTAAATTTTAATATCTGAAAGAAGTTGCCCATTGCACTTTGTTGTGAGATTTTACTTGAATGTTCTTTCCTGTTGACTTTTACAGATAAATTTTGGAATTATATTTCAACATCATAAAATCATCTTATAGGATTTTGACTGTAGTGGTATTAGGCAATTAATTAATTTCATAAGAATTTACACCTTTTACATTATTCAATTTCTAAAACTAGGCTGTGATATTCTTTATGTATTTTTTTACATATATAAAATATACTTTTATATATAATATGTAAATATATAATATGCTTATTTTTATATATGTAAAAAAGACTTATGTATAAGTTTTTTTCTTGTCCATCAGTGAAATTTTATTTTTTTTTACAAGGTCTTAGATTTTTAAATAATTGTTATTTCTAGTTAATTTTGTTTTGTGGATACATTTTCCCTGACTGTAACGCCTATTTTTATTGAACAGATAAACAATTAATGTTTTAACATTTATTTTGTATTTGGACACTTTATTGCTTTATTTTTGTTAATTTCTCACTTGATTCACCTAAGTTTTCTAAGAATAAGGTCATATTAAATTCACAAGATGGTGATTTTTGCTTACTCCTTTACAAGAACTGTTTCTCTTGTTCTGATTTTATGTTTTACTGCATTGCTTATAAGCTTAAAATTAACACTCAACAAACAAAAGAGAAGGAAACAGCGTCTTTTGCCTTCATGAATGATAAGAAAGAAGGCTGGGTGTATTGGCCCATGCCTATAATCTCAACACTTTGAAAGGCCAAGGTGGGAGGATTGATTGAACCCAGGAGTTCGAGATCAGTCTGGGCAACATGGTGAAACCCTGTTTCTACAAAAACAAAAATTAGCCAGACATGGTGATACATTCCTGTAGTCCCAGATATGCAGGAGATTGAGGTAGAAGAATCACCTGAGCCTGGGGAAGTCAAGGCTGTAATAAACGTAATAAACCCTAATCATGCCACTGCATCACTGCACTCCAGCCTAGGTGATAGAGTAAGACCCTGTCTGAAAAAAAGGAAAGAGAAAGAAAGAATGCTTTGGTTTTCTTTTTTCTGCCCTCGTCTGTTTTTGGTCACTCTGTTTTTGGTCATGTTTCACATTTTTTTTCTCTGTGAAGACTTACTTTAAAAGTTTAATTCATTTATTTCCTGATTACTTTTGTAGCAGGCATATCATGTTCTAATAGTCTTAATGCTCAACATTAGTCATTTTATATTAGGTTTTTCCATAGTCAAGGAATTTGATTCCTTTCTTAATAATCCAAAATATAAGTGTGTGTGATATGTCTTCTGAAGACATCATTTGTTTCCTTTAACCATAAATTGTAACTTGGCTGGATATAGAATTCTTATGTTAAAATCTTTTCCCCTAAAAACTTCTTAATTTCATAGATTTTGCTTCATTTTCTTTGGTATTCAGTGTTACAGAAAATAGAGTATAAATATAACTGAATTTTTCTCCCATACTTGAAATCCATACCTTTTGCTCTGTGATATTTAAATCTTAGTCATATTGTTCATAAACTTTGCCTTACCCTAGGTCAGCCTACTTCACCTGAAGGCATGGATCTTTATTTGGAACAGGAAAGTTTTCTTCTATTTTTTGAAAGTTGTTTAAGGTTAATTTATTCTAGATTCTTCTCCAGTAACACCAATAATGTATAGGTTTAATATCTGATATCTTGACATTCTACATGTTTAATTTTCTCATACATTTTATCTCTTTTTCTTTTTCTGTATCCTGTGAGATTTTCTCCACCTGGTCTGTCCTGATACTGATTTGAATTTCTGTAGTATTGAGTCTTTTTCTTTCTTACCTTCTCTCCTCTTGCCATTCAGCTTTCTCTTCATCCTTACTTGAAACCCTATTTCTTCTCTCAGTAGCAGCTATAAAACTTTGGTTATGATATTTAACCTCTTTGTCCTCCATTTTTCTCATCAACAAAAGGTGGATGATAATTATGTCCACAGAATAAAATTAGATTGTCCTTGAGAACTTTTAGAAAAATACCCAGCCCCTAAAAATGTGTCAATACATTTTAGTCAATATTACTGTTATCAGCAGCCTCAGCTTCTCTCCTGTATCTGAGCAATACTTCTTTCCTTTAAGCTGTGGTTATCTCGTTTCTGTGTGTATGTGTATTTATGGAAGTTATAGCTTATTGAATTTGGGGTGAATACAACACTGATACTCTTGAAAATGTACTAATGCTGTAAATCTTTTTTAAAATCGTCACCTTGAGTATCATGTACTCCTTTTTATGTTGTAGAATATTTTCATAAACCTTACATTGTTACTGTTGTTGATTTTTATATTTGTATTTCCTTGTACAAGGAAAGGTCTTTTGATAATAGACAGAATAGCTTAGTTCTCTTTGCTGTCAGAATCCGCCCTCAATGCTAAGTTGAAGGATTGGTTTATATGCAGCGTATTTAATCAAATTGTTTCTGACTAGCTGTTATTTGGCAGGAGTCAGGCTGCATTTAAGACCACTCTCCTGTTGGTCTTCTCTGACTATCCCATTCTATACGGAGGAATATATTTTTGGATAATTTCAATTATCATTAAATTCAATCCATTTGTCCCTTACTCAAAGTACTGAGTAAAAAGCTGCACTTTTTGAATTGCATCACCCCATCACTCTTCTTGTCTTGGTTCGTATTATTGATGAATTTTCCAGATGCAAGGTGCCATCACATGCCCAGCCCAGACCCCTACCATGCTGCCTTGTTGTGAGTTGTAGCCTCTAAACAGATCTATATACAGAAATATTAGTGGTGATTTGGGGGGCTGATGTGGACTTGGCACCTGCAGTTTGGGAGAACAGGCTTTTGGCCCTCTAATAGGTGAAAGTCATACGAGCAGGTATGTAGAAACCTCTCACTTTCTTCTCGCTTGCTTTTATTATTTTGTTTTAAAGTTTTATTCACATTTTAATGGGTTTGCCCTCAAGAGTCTGGCAGCATGTTGACTAATCTTTCTGGTACCATTGATGCTGTATCAGTACATGTGTTTTAATGAATGTGTATTCAAGAAAAATTGAGAGAAGTTTAATAAGGCCTTTCTAGCTTTAAAATGTATCAGTTAAAAGCAAAAGACTTTTTAGCTATAGAATCATACGGCCAGTGAAGTCTTAGACCAAAATTTTCATTTTATCATTGAGGAGACTCTTTTGAAGCAGAGTTACCTTTCTGACGTCGTAAACAGGAGTGAGCCTGGGTCTCCTCACCTTTTGTCATTCTAGTTCCTTAGTCATTTAAACAAATGTTTTAGCTATTTTGAGAAGTCTAGATTTTCAATCCAGTGCTTATCATATTTAGGAATTTCTTAAAAAGTGAGAAGACTTCTTCCATGGAAAAATACAGAACTATAGGGTTAACTTTGCTGGAGAGTCCAAAAGCTCCTCCTCATTGTTTAAACACTTTAGGGAACATTTGTGGACCCTTCTTCCCTTCCCTTCTATACCTATGTCTAACAACTATTAGTGGTCAAATAATCAAACTGGGATAGTAGTTCTCTTAGAAGAGTTGGTTCTTTGATACATGATTATATTGTGCCATTCCATATTCAAATGTGGCTGTCTCTCTGTGTCTCAGCTGCTGGAAGACTGCTCCTCTCGTCTCAAAATGACCCACCCAGCCAGAGCACTGTACACTCCGAATGGTGAGCCAATTCAGTCCTGGAATGACATAGAGAGAGATATGGTCATCTGTGTGTCTATGGGACATGGTTTCAGAACCCCAAAAGGTATGTGTGATAGTTTTTTTTTTTTTCCATCAAGTAATTGAAGAATTAAAACAACCTTCCCTTCAAAGAACTTATATGTCCCGTCACAATGATTTTGAATAAGTATCCTCCCCTCAAGTGTTTCTATTCCATGTTTTAGAAGTTAAATTTATATATTTATGTGCTGGAACCTCATGTCAATACTGTTGCATTGAAGAACTCAGTCAAATTTCAGTTAATCTTGAACCTTATCCAGGGGCCTTATTTGCAGAAATATTGAGAGCCTCATTTGAAGGTATTTCCCTAGTATGAACCCTGAGGAAAGTGAGACTCCACTGATTTCCTATTTTCCAAATTATTTAAAACTTAATGTTTTATTAATAGTAATTATATAGTTTGCAATTACTTTTATTTACTAATAAGTAAATATATTCTAGAATTATTATCTTGTCGATTTCTTGGTACTTTTCTTTGATAAATGGCAGAAATTGAAAAGAACATATATTTGTTATTGAGTGAACTCTAGTTCTTTATCCTATGTATCCTGATGGATTAAAAGCCTGTTTTTGTAGGTAGGCATATATTATCAAAGATATAATTTTCAGGAGATTCCGAAGAACATCGTTACCACTCTGAAGGAAACTAAAAGTTTAGGTAATGAATTGCCTGGTATCCCTATAATAGTAACAGCAGATATTTTCTTTTAAGAAGTCACCATAAAGTTATTATTACTATGTTATATGTAATGTAGGCAAACCAAAAACTTCTAAGACAGTTGCAATCATGTCTTTACATTTAGCCCAGAAGGGACAAAGGGATAGAAATGGAGACCAAAAAGTGGGAAGACAGGATTTATTAGGATGCCTAGCACTGTTCTGAGGGAAGCCAAAAATATTCCCCCCGCACCATCCTACATCATGGACGAGGCTCCAGTCCTTTTATCCTTTTTATTTTCTGCTGCTCCCATCACCCATCACTACCCATCACCCTGGTTCTTGGTGACCCTCACTGCAGGGTACTTAGAACACATCAGGGATGAGGTTCTTATTATCAGCAAGTATTCTTTAGTAGTTTTCTGTATCCACAAAGTACATAGCGTAGAAAATAAACGTAAGCTAGGCTCCTTTCCCGAGAGTTTTCAATCTAATTAAGAATATGCACACATGAAATAATTACAGTACAGTCGAGTAGTCAGCAAACAAGTGTGCATTTGGAGGTGCCTTCCCAGTCCCTTCGTTATCTAGGTTTAGTCTTTCATATTCCTAGGATGGGCTTCTGTTGCCTGTACCACACCTTCCTTGCAGCCTTGTGTTCATTGAGCCTGTGTGATAAATAAAGCTAAATATACTTCAGGAAAGCTAGCCAAAAGGGTATCCAACCACAGAGAGAGAGATGTCGGCTGCCTTCCCAGAAGCAAGCTCGTCAACAATAAAAACTGTGAATGGAAGAGAAAAAAATTGGAAATGCAAATATTACTCTTTCTGCCATTTTCCTCCCTGTTAGCTCTGTGTATCTTTGATAAAGCTTTGGAGACAAATATTCATTTTTGCATCTTCAATTCTTTAAATACATAGATTGCATCATATGAAAGTTTATTCCTTTCCTATGACAGTAGGTTCCCCATTGTTACCTTCATGGTAAGAGGATTAGTGGTTTCCTCTATTGTCTCAGTTCTTTTGAGTGAGTTATATGCATTCTAGGAAATTACAGGAAATCTCTGATTTAGTTTAGAAAAGTCTGATTTAGTTGTTTTTTAGAAACTTATTTTACTGTTGCCATTTTATTGTTTTTCCTGAAATAATTAAGTTAGTAATAATCATTTTTTAGAAATCTAAATATTTGAAGTGCTTTAAAAAAGAAAAGATAGAAATGCAACTACATGCATAGACCTGTTAAGGGACATTTAATTAATTAATCATTCCATTCATGATTTTTCTGTGACCTAGTGGTTTAAGTATTTAGGAAGAAAATAAAGCAGTCTGGGAGTTTCAAAACCACTCTAAAAGAACTTATTTATGCATTATAATATCAAAAAAACATTCAGTATGTGAAAGTTAGTCATCAAAGAATGAAATCAGGTTTTTTTAAAAAATCAATTGGATTTGGCAAAACAAACCCAGATGCTACTAGAATGGCTTATTTCACACAAACCCCTGACAAAATTTAAAGGGTACTTTATGCCATTTGATATAAAATCTGAACACTGTTCTCATTGCTGCTTTCTATCTTTTCATTGTCCTAATTTTTAGACCAGCCCGAGGTTAGCTTCTAATTCAGACTTTGTAATAAACCTGGAAAGAAGTCCTCTCTAGCAATTTCCATTCTACAGAAATCCAAAGAGTATTAACACATACCTGATGTGATAAGAAGTCAAAAGTGTAATGAGAGAGCCCAGGGTGGGAGCCAAGAATTTTTGAGGGGTCTTCAAGCTTTTCATCATCCTGGACTTTTAATTATTTTCCATGACATTGACTTGTTCCTCAATTTCTTGTTTTTGACAGAGTTAAAGCAATTGATGGAAATCAGAGCAAATTATACCAGAATCCGAAGGCAGCAGGGCCCTCAAGCCACAGACATTGTGGTGTCGCCATCCACGAAGCTGCTGTCTCTGGCACATCTCCACAATTAACTCCTATCAGAACCATCATTTTCTGCTATATTTTGCTGGTATAGCTGTGTGCACATACTCATATGTTTGTTATGACATTATGATTATTTATCTCTTTTATATTTACACAGTTCCCCCTTTCTTTTCTGAGACAGATTCTTGCTGTTGCCCAGGCGGGAGTGTAGTGATCATGATCACAGCTTACTGTAGCCTCGACCTCCCTGGGCACACATGGTCCTCCCATCTCAGCCTCCCAAGTAGCTGGGACTATAATCATGTACCCCCACGCCCAGCTAATATTTGTATTTTTTATAAAGGTGGGGTTTTGCCTTGTTGCCCAGGCTGGTCTTGAACTCCTGAGCTCAAGTAATCCTTCCACCTCGACATCCCAAAGTGTTGGGATTGTAGGCATGAGCCATTGCACCCAGCCCTATGTGACATTTTGTAAAGGTTATTACCCTTTGCATTTTACATAAAGTGACATTTGATGTCTCAAATTCATTCCTGAGAAGACAACAAAACTAGACAAAATAATGCCAGAAAAATAACTATCTTAGGTGTATTTTCTTCCACAAAAAAAAGGATACTACTAGTTATTAGTGAAATATAATTTCATAGGGTCAAATGGCTTATGTAAAGGCTTTTTTATGTATAATCAAACATTCCATCAAACATTCCATTCCACGTATGGAATATTTGATGATACAAAAAGACTCTGACAACTAAACACTAAATTTGACCCTAGTGACATTTTCTGGCTCAGCCACCATATTTTCCAGACCTCCATATTAAAATCCTAAAGTTACTGAATACCAATGAAATGGCTGGTGGCCACCAAATGCCATACAAATCAATCCTTTCTTCTCCAATTTCTCATCAGTTTCACCTGTAGTAACAGTGCAGGACTTTTTATGGGGTACAGTTAGATTCTGTTCATGAGAATAAAGCTTGGTAATTCCCAATATTTGCCCAGTGATAGAAGTCATAGACTATGTCCTCAATATAAAAACTTAGGGAAAGGATATATGAACTATTTAAAAGAAAAATTACGGAAGGTTTATTTTTTAAAAAGAAATCAAGGGAGATACCTAGCAGTCTTAGGTATCAATTCTACAGAAAGGGAAGAATTTATAAGAGGAAAGAACCATTTAAAAAAAAATAATAACAGTGACTGAAATCAGAGTTTAGTTTCTGCTTTTGGTGACAAATTTCCAGAAAAATGCTCTTCTTCCCTGTCTTCCTCTGAAAACCACTCACAGCTCTGTATGAATATAAATTGCACTCTGGCTAGGTGTGTACAGAACAGCTCAACTGGGCTCACTTCTCAATCCTCCACTTTAATATGATGCAGGAAGGCAGTATATCATTTCTACTGAAGGGGGCTCTTGGTAATCGCTGCAGAAGGCCTAGTATTTACTCCCAGTCTGCAAATCAGTAGGGCTGCATGAATAAATTCCTGCTGCCTCTGACACCACTAAAAAGCAAAGCACATTGAGGTGAAATCACATGTTACATCAACAGCAATTTGCCCTTTTATAGACATTTTCTCTGTGTGTTGTGATGTTAGAGATGAGAAGGCATTGCAATGCAGTTGTGTGCCATATAGGAGAAAAAGATTGCATGTGACTTCTATCTTTCTTTCTTTCTTTTTTTTAAGCAAGAAAAACAAAACAAGAAGAGTTAAGAGACTTGCTCCCCATTGGAAAGGAAGCCAAAAGGACTCTTGCCACTTGGGCCTCTCCCTAGAATGACTCAATCACAATCCCTCTACAGACAATTTTTTTAAAATTCCTTGAAAACAAAGGCATTTCGCTAGGTGCAAAAGTACCTATCACTTTCCTGCCAGGGAAAAGTTTATTTGCTATGAAAATGGCATAATTTCACCCTGGATCAAATGTGCAAATTCTTGTGAAGTCTTCACTGTTGCATGTGAATATGCCTGAAGCGAAAATTGGTAATATCACACAATGCTGTATCAAGCACCAGGAGACATAAGGCAAAAGTCTTAACTGAACTTTTCTATTACTAGTAAATGGGATTTTAGATGTAATGTAACAGTCATCAACACATCACATTTTACCAGCAAGTCAGCGACACTGTAGACAACAGCTAGCCCTGGATATCTTGGTACTTCATAACCACTTTTAGCTTTGACTGAAAACAGCCCTGCTCTTTCCTTACTCTTGACCTTCCTCTTTGGTTGGCTGAAAGGTGGACTGGGGAGCAGTTTCTCTACCTTCAGCAAGGACTGTAGGATAAGACCATTGCAATTCTGTTCAGCCATTCTAGGCTTTTAATAAACGCAGTAATTTCCTTTGGGAACATGTTTATCAAATTTGAATCAGCTTCATATATATAAGTCAGATTTCAGTATTTTTCTATCAACTGAAAATGATTTATTATTAAACACTAAAGCAACCATTCCTAAGTCCATGGCCTTCTCCGAAAATTTATTTCCTGCTGGTTCACAAACACCCTTAAGGTGATCCAGATGTTAATCAACAGTGTGGAAGCATTTGGGATTTTCCTCAGGAGAACTGAATTTTTCTGCCCACCTTTCTAGCTGTTGTTGCCTGATTAAGTGTTGGGGTAAAGTTCCATGTTTTTAAGCAAGTAAACTAAAATCAATATGCCTGAAAGTATGGCATTCTTTCTGGAATTAACTAACAGTATTAATAAATAAGAAGCATTTTATCTGGGTGCTTATAGCAGCTTTGTAAACAGGATATATTAGTAGTGATTCAAAATGCAAAGGTAGCTTTGAAGGGCAATAATCCTAAATTTCTGTTTTTTTCCTTGATTATTTATCATAACTATTGTTTTGTTAATTAAGAAAACAAAGCAACAATCAGACAAATAACAGCAGAAGGATAAATATGAATTTGTTGTCTTTTGTCAGAGACTCACTTAGAAATTGTGGCTGGTGGCTGTTGCAGCATTTGTGAGCTAACCTTCAATAATAGCCCAGGTGTGCTGAGTGTCATTGAGAGATTCACAATTCACCATGGCAGCATTTTTTTAAAAAATTATTTGGAAGTGAGTGCTCAAAACACACAAATCTGCATTATTCTAGAACATCACAAAATCAGATGCAAATGTCCCCAGTGACGGGAAATTTAGACCCAATGGTGATTCTCAGTTGTTTTTATTGAACCACTGGTTCTGGTTCTCTCTTGGCTTTGAACGTACCTCAACCCTGTGTCCCCTCCGCCAGGCTGGGTAAGTGGAAAGAAAGAGTAGCAGTTTTGTTCTCAGCACAATAATTTAAAATTCTGCATAAATGGCATGTTTTGGGGCTGTGTGACCATAAGCAACTACAAAGCAAGATCAACAAAGACCATTCAGGCAAAAGCTGACAAAAGTAAATTGACTGTGTAACTAGATATTCAGTGTGTGTCTGCTTCCAGCTATAGCATTTTCTAGTTCTCTGAGTCTGGAATCTGCAACTCCTAGCAATAGGCTATCACCCTGTATGTACCAAATGTGTACATAGAAATATAAGAGGAAAGAGAAAATGCATATGCCATGATGCAACTGGGTTGAAGGAGAGGGAAGAAAGGAGACAGGAAATTTTATATCTGCAGCAAGTAAAATAGTGATTCTGAATTGGATGTGCTATTGCTCATTGTCTGTGCTATTCCTCTGTGGGCTTGCAGGTAGATACAAGCTTCAGTTAAGCTGCTGGACGTATCAGGTCCTAGCTTGTCTGTCCTAGAGCAGTAATTTCAACCTTGCAAACTGCTATTAGGGTTTTAGCTCAGGTACAGATGCTCAGGAATGTCAGCTCTGTCAGCAACCGAAGCAACTGGGTGGTCATCTCTAGGTGCCACCACTGGCAGCTGTGTTTTAAAGGAAATTTCCCAAAGGGTGCTGTCATTTACTCTGCAGACTATGCTGGAGAGAGGTGGAGGAGAGGAGGGAAGTTCCCAGGGCTCCTAGGTTAGTGCTCCTAAAAGTGTAAAATCTGGTTGTATCTCTGTTCTTGTTTCCATCACTTTTTATCCCTCTTCCCTCCTCCTTCTCCCTCCCTGCCTTTTGGCCTTTTCTCCTGTCTTCCTGGCTTTTCTCCTCTAAGAGTGTTTAAATCTAGTCTTTCATTTAAAAAGAAAAAACTCTTTTCTGGAACAATTTGTGTATTGGCAAGAGATGCTACCTTCATATGATTCTTAAATTTTAGTGTGCACAAGAATCACCTGGTATGCTAGATAAAATAAAATCACCTGGTATGCTAGATTACCAGGCTTGATTCCAGCACTGGTTAAAGTGGCATAGGGAATCTGCATTTTAACAAGCATCTGGGAAGAAGTGTAGTCCTCGGCCACAGTTTAAGAAACTTTGCCAAGAGTTTTGGGCCCACCAAGGACAGCGCTGTTTATTATTAGCAGGGAATGGCCCAAGTGATAAGTACCAGTTTCAAGAACAATGCCTGTATTCAGGGGCTATGAAGACAATGAAGCATTTGCTTTGTATGAGAGTGTTTGAGTCTAAGTATCCTCATGTTTTTTCATCACAATTACCTTAAAAAATGAAGGAAATGTTCTTGAGTCAGAACTAACCACCCAGAGATTTTAACTAGGACCCAGACATCGGAAGACTAAACAAGTGAGTTTGAGATGCTGAAGCTTCCCATGTTCATTAAGCTGTCTTCAGTGCTGGTAAAAATCTTGCTATTTTAAAGGTCACAGGAATAATATCAGTGCTGTGGTACATATATCAAGGAGCAGAATACTTTTGAGAGTGTGGAAAATAACCAGTTTCCTGGAGTTTCCTTATTTATTTTTAAATATACAAAGAAGGAGAACTTTGGAACAGGACAATATTTCTATTTTCCATCATTGCTCTTTCTCCAATGAATGAGCTACTTAATAGTGAAAAGGCTAAACCTCTTTGTTCTGTTTGCTCTAAGTCTAGTTAACATGGAAGTCTGCGCACGAGCACCTCCATCCCTGACAGGCTCACACAGGGGTGTGAAAATCCACAGGATATTATTTCAGTTCTGTAACAAATTCTCTTGGAAAAAATAATTTTCAAGATAGTTCTCTTGACTCACCAATGAAAT